CGTGCAACCAACAAAATTTGGCAAACTGCCAATCAAAGCTAAATATTTCCTTTCATTTCCTCCAGACCGAGTAAAACCGTGATAAGAGAAATCATACTAACAAATTCTGCTTCGCCCGAGTTTTCTCGGGATAATAAGTAACTGCAATATATACGAACCCGAGATAACTCGGGATAATCAGGCGAGCGGTTAATATTTATTACTTTACTTTATTAAACATTCCTTTCAATGTAAATTGTTTAAGTTGCTTTATTTTGTATGCTAATACTTTCTCTTTAATTCTGTAGACAGACGAATTATCTTGTTCAGTCATGAACTTCCATTGCTCGAATCCTGTAATTGCTGTGTCAAGAATTCTAACCGACTTGTCAATCAAAATTTTTTCATTTTCAGTACCCTCTCTGTCACTTTCTTCACTATCGGTAGCAGTTTTTTTGGATCTAGAACCATATTACAGATTTCCATGTCTGTTAATTGATTGATGACTGGGGCATTGTCATTGCAATAAAAAACTCGTCATTTCTTTGCAAAATTCATTAATTAGAAAATTTTATCTTTGGTTTGCAATATCCGAAAACCTTCAAATTCCCATCTGTCATCATCATCATCCTTACCATGAAATATGGTAGCTGGTCATAAATTATGGCAAGCCTTTTTTAAAGCATTTGGAAACACATCCTCCCATGATCTTGCGATGCTCCACACAGCAGATTTTATTCTAAATATTTAAAAATTTCTTGACTAGTCTTGCCATTATTAAAAAAAAAAAAAAAAAAAATTAGCATGGATTTTGAAAATGCCTACTTTATATTTGCATTTCAGCCCAGCACTATTCCTATCTTCATAGGCTGAATGATGGATGTATAATTTGGAGGAAAGAGTAACATGGATACATTATCTTTCATTAAAACATATAGTGAAGTATGAGCCAAACAGTTGTCTGCAATTAGGATTATTTTTGCGTCATCAGGTAAACAAACGGAATTCAAATGTTGCCAAGCCTCAGGCATGAAATGATTTTAAAATCAATTCATTAATGTTTGTGTCATCCATGTTTTTTTATTTGTACAATATATAGTAGAGAAAATCTCTACTCCTTTAAATGCTGGAGGTCATGTATTTTTCCCGATTATGAAAAGTTTATACTTGTGCGTTCCTGCAGCATTTGTGCATGTTAAAATTGTTAGTCTCACTTTGGAATCTTTGACACTAGTTGAAGCCTTTTCTGTAGAGATTGCTACAGTATTTCTTGGTACATATTGTCAGAAAAGACCAGTTTCATCAGCATTGTAAATTTGTCCTGGAGATAACTTTTCATTATTAATGAATTCATTTACAAATAGTTCAGCAGCTTCCATATCAGCTAAAGCCTTTTCACCTGAAATTTTTCAGTGCCTTATACAATGGCAATTTTTAAGTTTGGTTAACCAACCTGTCAAATATGTGTACTCAGCTTTTAAGTTAATATCTTGAAATATTTTGGCTTGAGCCATTAGCATTGGGGCCGTCAGTGGCACGTCCTTGCTGCAACATTGGCTGACCCATTCAGTTATCACTTTGTCATGATCGTCACTTTTAGCATAATAAATAATTTTTCTGTTATTCATTGTGAGTGGAGTGTTGGAATCCACAAAATATTCAAAAAGTTACTTTTTCGGTTTTCTTACACAGTCCGTAATCCGGACTCATCAGGACTTCGATTCTGGATTAGGGTTTTTTCCGGATTATAGATCATCAATTTAAATCTGGTAAGATGGCATGCAGAAATTATACAATTAAAAATATGAAACTGTAATTTATGAAATAAAGTGCAATTATGATCTAAAGGGTATCAAAATTTTCAAAAAAAGCTTAATATTTATTTGTTTACTTTATTAAACATTTCTTTCAATGTAAGTTGTTTAAGTTGCTTCATTTTTTGTGCTAATACTTTCTCTTTAATTCTATAAACAGACATAATTTCTTGTTCAGTTACAAAGCTCCACTGTTCAAGTCCTGTAATTGCTGTGTCGAGAATACTGACTAACTTGTCAATCGAAATATTATCATTTTCAATAACCTCTCTGTCACTTTCTTCACTATCAGAAGTGCGCATTAAACACGCATGTGTAAATGCATTACACGCATGCATAAAGCATACAAAAAAAAGTTTGTGGCTTTGAGGTCCGGATTATAGACCATTCTGGATAATGGATGTCCGAGTTACGGACTTTGTACTGTATCATATACATTTCCTTATGCCATATTATTTCCTCTTCAATACTGACTTTCCAGTGCCTTACTCCTTGTGTAGCATAATGCTGAGGCGGATATACCTTTATTCATTTTTTGCAGCAATTCCAATTTTTGTTTAATGGACATCAAAACATGCTTTCGCTTTGTAGATCCTGTTGCAGCTCCAGAAATAGAAACTCTTTTCGATATTATTGAAAGTTCAAACTTAATTTTCATAAAATTACTGTAATAATAACAGCCTGTAAAAAATAATATGCTGGATCAAATCAGAAAGTTAAGGAGCAGCATAATCTGCTGTATTAACTGAAATTCCTTGGAATCAGTAAAGAATAATTTTAGCCTAGCTTAAAAATGTTTTTTTTTTTTTTTACATTATTGGCTATGTAACATGAGATTGGAGATGAAAGACAAGTTGTTCCAGTAAATTTTCTTTTGTTTCTATTGCGCTCAGAGACAGTTAAGCCTAAAATATATTTTTTAAATTATTTATTATACTAACATCTATTTCTTGTTCATTCTTAAGGGTTATCAGAGTCCTGAATAAAAAAATTTCCACATCGAGGGCAGGCACTAGATATCTTACCGCCTGATCTCTGCAGGTCCTAAATTCTGCAACCAAGTTCCTCCCTAAGTTCTAAATTTTTGCTGCCCCTAAACTTTGGATCCCAGTGCTTTTCCTAAATTATAAAAATTTGTCATCTCTTAATTTTGCCGCTCGGTGCTTCTCCAAATTCCAAACAGTTTGTCTTTTCTAAATTCTGCCACCCGATGCAGCCATATAAGCTCTGACCCCGGTTCTGGGTTTATGTGAATAATTTATCAGTTATTCTTAATTCAAATAGCACTAAATGTGATCTTTTGGACTATGAGTTTCATTAACAAAATCTATTTTTAGCATATGAAAAGAATGTTTTGTCAAATTTTTCCTTGTCAACATTTCTTAGCTCATTAAGCTTAAATCTGTGATCACCGCTAAGCATAATGTCAGCATAAAAGGTTACCATGCAGTTTGTTATTCAGTTACTAATGTAAAAAAAATTGTTTAGGCATCACTGTATGAGTCATTACTCAAGCTGTCATGTGTTGATAAATATGCAGTGATGAAAGCAAAATATAATAAATAATGATTCGCCAGGTTGGTGTCAGAGATATAAAGTTTTAGTAAGTGTAAAATTAATGATCCTTCTATGTACTAGAAATTTTTGGTTTGAGATGTATGTCAAGCAGATACATAGTTAGGTAGCCAAATTATTGATCACACAAATTTATGCTAAGATGATTGTTTCTTCAACAATGAGGTAAAATTAAGTAAAATTAAGAATCTGGACTCTCCATGTGTTTTATTATGGAGGAGGAAAAATGAAATGTGCATGCGTAAAGCAATCAAGGGGGAAAAAAAGATTGTTGTTGGTTTTGAGGTCTGGATTTTTAAGTCATTGCGGATATTGGACGCCTGGATCTCAGGCTTTGTACTGCAGCTTAGTTATATACCGATTTTCAATTATCTTGGCTTAAGATATTTTTGAATAATGTAAAGTGATTTTCATTTATGCATCATACTTCAAAAGATACGTCCATTTATGTATTACAGAAAATTTTCACTAGACATTTTTCTTAACAAGCTTTCTCATTGTGCCTTTCTATAAAACTGTTATTGAAGATCATTTGAATGAATGTAGAAGAATGGTGGAAGATAAGATAAAATTTCTATCCTGTACTTTGTCTTTGGTAGTGTAATAATTTTGCATTCTTTTAATTTCAGAATGCTGTTTCTTTCGTGTACTTGCATAAATTTCTACAGAATTTGGGAATTATTCATTGTGGGAAGAGCGAAAGACAAATAGTTCACTAGATAGCACATGTTAAATAATAATAACTGATGCTATTAATAAACTTTGTTGGATGTTGAAAAATATCCTTAAAAGATATATTAAAATTATTGAAAGAAGGCCTCTTTATTTAGAAAATGAAACTAAAAATGATTTACCACTGATATATAAATAGTGATAAAAACATTATGCGACATAAAATGGATTGAATAGTTTTGAAGGATTATGAATATCTCTGAAAATGTAGCAACAATAGAATTAAGAGGTATTCAAGAAAGTGCAAGTGAACTTCTGCATGGTTATGAAGAAGAGACTGATACTGAAGATTATTTAATGAGAAATTCACACTGTGTCAGTAAAGTAATGGAAATTTTGTAAATTCCTGTCACTACATTAAATTTTTGTATAATATGCATTTCAACAGTTTTGTGAAGAAAGACAAAAAGAAAGCATTACTAATTTCACAACGTTTTAAAACTGTAAACGTAAATAAATATACAGTTTAAATTTCAAAGTTTTCAAAGAATAAACAAAGCTTAGTGTACCCAGTTATTTTTTTTTCAGTCTGCATGTGCTATTTTGATTGATCTCTGTAATAACTAAATAAGTGATATTAGAAGAAGGGATCAAATACATAATTGATATAAATACATAAATTATGTTTGCTTTTATGGTCTATGTATAAGTATGTATGCTAGTATTTTTAAATTGGCATATATTTACATAAATTTCTATTTTAAAAGATGCATGTATTTATAACTCTGTAATTATTAATATTTACATATAAATAAAACAAATCTCCTGCATTGAGGCGTTTTTTAATGTGTTTCAAATAGTGTTTTTGGCTTATGAAACAATTTTTTGAACTGCAAGTTTCCTGACATAACTATATAAATTTCTGAATATTTGACTATTTTTTTTATTTTTCATTATCAGGGTTGTTACAATAAAGTTGTTGATTTTGTAAATCAGAACTTGGGAGCTATTTTTGGAGGTGCTGTAGGCCTAGCTTGCTTTCAGGTATGTGTAGCTTTTATAAATATAAAATATGAAGTGCTTTTTAATTATAAAATACTGGTGTAAAAATTATATGAACTGCATCCACTTTAGAGTATAGAAGCATCTGTGGAGTATTTTTATTTTATCAGAATGTAGATAACAATGCATAACATAAGCCAGTTTCCCTTAAAAGTCCTGCATGAAGGCATCCCACACCTTAATCCTCTGAGTGCATGACTGGCTTTATCCTATCATGAGATGTTTGTCAGATTTTTGTCACTTGTTATATATTAGCTTATAATTTAAGATATTTTGCTTTCTTACTTTCATTAATAATATAAATGTCATCTTGATGAATGTAAGTTTAGAGGATTAAGCAGATAGCCCTCCCATGCTTTGGCTTATTTAAAGAAACAAAATGTGTGAGATTACATTTACAAATTGGATTTCATTTTATCATAATTGATTCTATTTTGAATTATTCTTGTTATAATTTAAATTTTTTAAAAAAGTGTCTTGTTGCATTTATAATGGGTTCATAATAGATTGAATGCAGACAGAACTGATGATAGCTTGATAAAATTTATTTTACCTTAAGAAACACTTCACACTTCTAGAACATTCCACAAAAATACTCATACAGAATACAATCAGTGGTTGCACTTTAAACTACTAAGAACAGAGCACCATGTAAAGCAAAGTGCATCTAAAGAGTGAATCTAAGACGGGTATCTCAATATTCAGTTCAGCTCTGAACTAAAAACTGAGAGCAGATGCTCCCTCTACTTTTTTATAGTTTTCACTCAGCTGCCAAGAAATCTGTAGTACTTTTCAAAATTACTGAAAGGCATATGAGGGCCGGATACAGTTACAGCTCCTTATAGCATCAATTACCGTACTCATTATACTTTTGCAGGGACTGGACCAAAATATCGTCAAGGTTGTCAATGTTTGACAACAAAAATTAGTTGCCAAAATTGTTGTCAGCTTGGTAGTATTTCGCCAAACTAGTGAGATGACCATTTACTCAATGTCAAAAAGAATTGCCCCTGTAGTCTTACTTTTTTTGCAAGCTTCGCTTCTTTAGTTTTCATGTTATATATATATATGTTATGTATAAATTATGTATTATTACACTACAATTATTTGTTATATGTACAAAATTCGTAATAGTATGTTATTGAAGCTTTGGCTTAAATATTGTTGTTTTTTGTTAATTTAATAGTAAATGAAATTCATTATCTTGAAAAATCATATAAAATCATGCATTACATAACAAGAAGCTAAATTTTTGTCTGTCAGTGGATGATAGTACTAGACATTTTGATTTTTATGCAGATATGTTTATAACTTATAAACTTTCCATTTCAAGAAATTACCTAATAATTATTTATGTTTACATAGCTTATGTATTAAGAGAGGTAGAGTCAATTATTCAAATAAGATAATTAATTATCTTAAATTTGATGATTTAAAAAGCTGTTTTTCGTTATTTTAGCTAGAATTTTTCCTTCATTTTGTCCTAATTTTATTTTTATTTATAATTTTGATTTCTGAAACTGGAGAGGTTATGATACTGTTAATTTTTTTCACTTTATTTTTAACTTTTAACGTATAAATTTGTTTTCTCGTGATTTTATAATTAGTGTTGCTTTTTAATATCATTATGCACACACTCTATTGCGTTTTAAAATTTAAATCTGATACCATATTTAAATAAATATGAGTACAAAAATTTGTAATCTTCATAAGGATCAACTAAATTGAAAGACTTATTGAGTGAATTGTAATTGAAGAGCAAACTTTTAGAATTTCTAGCTAAAATAAAGAAAAACAGCTTTTTAAATCATCAAATTTAAGATAATTATCTTATTTGAATAATTGACTCTACCTCTCTCAATACATAAGCTATGTAAACAAATAATTATTAGGTAATTTCTTGAAATGGAAATACATTCATTTTGTTTAAGGAATATTCAGTTAATAAACTGTTTTGTGTTATAATAATAGTTGGTTAAAACAATTACATAAAATATTTGCTAGCTTTAACCTGTTTTGTGCTATAATAATAATAGCTGGTTAAGGATTACATATATTTATATAAAATATTTGTTGGCTTTAACTTTTACTATGTGTGAATTTTCTTCTCTTAATATATATATATATATATATTTTTTAGCTTTTGGGTGTAATATTAGCTTGCTGTCTTGGCAAATATATTGATAAAGCCAAATATGAGCCAATGGGATAATTTTATGAGTAAGTTCTTTTAGAATCTTAACATAAGTTTTTAATGTTTTTTTTTTAATTTGAAATGTATTGATTTTTCTTTTATGTAACAGTTTTTTAAAATTTAATGCTCCTTAAAGAAAACAAATTTACAGTGGTGCTGAACATAATCTTAATGTATGCAATCCATTCTAAGATAGCATTTCTGCACCTTTTAAAAAAAATATGCAGGACATGATTTTTAATAGGATAATATGGAATAATTTTAATCCCTTCTTGAATTTGATTCGAAATAAAGAAGCATTGTAAAAAAAGAGGCAAATAATATTAAATACATCTCTATGTTGGAAATGTTAAAACTTTTATTATTTGTAAGATTGTTTGCACCTATGGTGTTATATATGCATACAATTTTAAGTTTTTAGTTTAGTATATGTATTCTTGGTTATTCATTAGAAAGGAATGTCTCAACTGCTCTTCATCTTGTCTCACATCTTCTTTTTTTGGGGAGGGGAGGTCCAGTTTTCTAAAATATTTTTCTTCTTTCCTCTCTTCAGAATGGTGCTGATGTGTACTGCATGATAGTCATTAAACAGATCTTCCACTCCGTTCCCCTTAATTTGATTGATCTTGGATCTCTTTCTTGCTTGATATCTACTTCATTTTGAATTTTTTGCCCTTCAAAAAAGTTCGTAAGGACAAAAACAAGTGATAGTCAGAGGGTGCTAAGTCTGGGGAATATGGTATATGTGTCAGAATTTCCCAGCCTAGTTCTGCAATTTTTTGACGAGTCCCCAAAGCAGCATGTGGCCTAGCATGATCATGATGCAGTACGATGTCCTCCTTGTTGAAAATCGCTGGCCTGTTTTCTTGGACTGTTGTGTCTAAATTGTCTAATTGCTGACAGTACTTCTCCGAATTGAGCTTTTTTTTCAGTTTTAAAAGTTCATAATGTACTGGTCCTCACCATATACACCACATTCTCCTTATTCAGAGTCATATTTGGTTTAGAGGTGGGAGGGCTGGGTTTCTGGGTTCACAATATGCCCTTTCCCTTACGATGTTTCTATCGGTGATCCACTTTTCATTCCCAGTTATCATCCGGTTCAAAAAAGGCTTCATTTTGTTCAGAGCAAGCAGAGATGTGCATATGACGACTCGATCATCAAATTCTTCCGACTTAATTCATATGGCGCCGATCTTGAATATTTCCACACCAATCCTATCATTCGAATATGGTTTGCTGAGCTGAATTAAGCCTTTTTGCGATCTCCGATGTTATCACAAAAGGATCTTGCACCAACATGGTCGTAACAACACCATCGCTGATAAAAGATGATCGCCCAGAACGTGGCTTATCAGAAAGTTCAAAATCACCTGTTTCAAATTTTTTGAACTATCTTCTGCATGCCTTATCAGAAACTGTACCTTCACGAACACTTTCAATAAATTTCTACATGCTTCTGTAGCATTTCTTCCTTGTTGAAATTCGTATAAAATACAGCTGCGTAAATGAACTTTATTAGTGGCCAAGGGTATACTATCGCTTCACACTTAAGACTAACGTGAATCAACTTTGTTTTAGTTAACTTGCTACTTCACTATGTATACATTAAGCGATAAAAATAGAGAACCGAACATACAGCAAATAAATGTGCTTACGTGTCAAAAATTGTCATAAAAAGGATATAACTTTCCAATAGACCGAATAGTTATGGGATACCCTCGTACTCTCCAGGTGATCTTCCTTAAAATTGGGGTGGAAATAGAAGTTCAACCTCCTTGAGGCTCTGGCTCATTAATCCAGGAAATTCATAGACAAGGCAATAACATCTATAGGTAGTTATATCATTCAGCAGATCTTTTACTAATAAGTGATGGATAAAAAATAGGCACTATTTATATTGAAAATGACTAAAAACCAACAAAGTAAAATAAACTAATATAGACTTGGTAGAAGTTGATTCTATACATAACTTAATAGCAGTCATTCCTAAGGCTTCTGCCACTGAGAGACAAATTCAGACTCAGTGGAACTTGATTACTTGGATTTTCGGAAATATAAGCTTCTGATTGCTTTACAGTTACAAAAAATTGTTTGCAAAGTTTTAAATTCAGCAATGCTTTACCAGCAATTTTTCTTTTAAAAAAATTAGTTTGAAAAGATAAATTTCAAATTTATTTATGTCGTTTTACGACCATATTTCATCAAAATGAAATTTTTGATAAGCTTGCCAGTTAATCAAATTTAAAATATGAAAATTTAGATGGATATGCAAATGTTACCATTAAGTTTAAGAATACAAAATAGAGAGCATGTGCCAACTTTGCCCTTTAATCATTTAGCTAAGCTATTTGAAATAATATTAAAAAAACACCATTTTGCATGCTAAAATGTATAGGATCGAGACATTTTTTAAAGATTAAATTTTGTTATGAAATTAAAATTCATTTCTTTAGACCTGTGAAAATTAATTATCAAACCAGCCACCTTGTGCATGAACATTACCTTAAAATTAACAGCAAGGGTATAGTTTAATAAATACTGCACATTGCATGGACATGCAATTAAATCCATTCTATTGGGTGATATGCATTTCTTTCCTATGCATACCGTATTGCTTTTTATGATCAGATACATATATATCGGGTTTTAACGAAAGTTTCCTGCCACTGCAAATATAATCTGTGTAAACAGTTGGCATTGGCATGTTTAATCATACTTTGTCAAATAATTTTTGGTATTTGAAAGAGAGAGACTTCCTTTTAAACACTGTATTGTGAAATAAAAGAAAAAGTATTATTAAGTACAAGATATCTGAAACGGAACTATCATGTTACCAGATTAGAACCATAATTTACTTCCAGTTCTGTTGCAAAAAGTCAGCTACAGAATGTTGTTAAATCATGTCTATAGCTTTAGGTACTAATGTTGTTTCATATGACACTGTGAAGGTTTGGTACTGAAAGTTCAAAAACATGGACTGTAACAATGAAGAAGCAGAACACTCTGTCTGGGCTACTGATGAGGCCCGCCTACAAATACTTGTGGAAGAAGACCAATATGCCACCACTCGAGATCTTGCTACGGATTTAGACCTTGTTGCATGTCCATTAGTCGCTCAATGCATCGCAAAAATGTGATGTCTAAGTTCAATTGCTGTGTGCCGCATGAGCTGACTCTGGCAGATAAGGACAAACATGTTTGGGCCTGAACTAATCTGCTCTAATATCAACACAAGGACAAAATTCTGGACCGGATCGTAACTTGTGACAAAAAGTGGATTTACTTCAATAACACGGCTGAAAAGGTGTTGGTTTGTGCACAGTGAGCCTGTTGGCAGCATCCCAAAATGCAATTTGACTAACAAAAAGATCATGCTTTTTATCTGGTGGGATTGTCGTAGTATTATCCACTAAGAGTATCTGGAAAAAGGTAAAACCCTCGACAGTAAAGTGTACAGCAAGATGTTAATCCGTGTTGATGCTGCTATCAAGGGAAAATGTCGAACTGAGTTCCGGCACAGAAGGGTAATGTTCCATCAGGATAGTGCAAGACTGCATATATTTGCATTCACCAGCTGAACTCTGTACGGTCTTGAATGGTATCTTTTACTACACCACCATATAGCCCTGATATCACTCTGGGCTTCTACCTTTTATCATATCACTTTGGGCTTCTACCTTTTTTCATAGCTGCAGCTACATCTTCTGGTGCTATCCGCTGTGCTGCACAAGACGTCTGAAATGAGGTTTTTGGATTCACGACCACCAAGTTTTTTAGCAGTGTATTATGAAATTTTTAAAAAAGTATCATTAAATACAAGATATCTTAAATGGAAAAAAATTGTTTTTGGCTTTGAAAAACTACCAAAACAGCTAAAAATTACAGATTTGGGTGGTGATTACTACGTGTGCTAAATGTACTGTTTTAATGTTTGATTTGTATGTCTTTCAGAATGAAATCACATTAACATTTGTTAAGCTTTTGATCTCAAAATGTAATTTTTTTTTTTTACATTGGCCAGTTCTTGAAACATCTTTTTTAGTGTAGCTAAAGTCAGATGCTTTAGGAATCCTATGGTGGAGATAAAGTAATTTTAAAAAACATTATTCAGTTATTTTCTTTGGTGATTTGCAGTCGTATTCTCTAGTGTTCATATGGTCTAATGATCATTTTTATTTATAGTAACAAAAAAGTAAATTTATTACAGTTATAGTATTCTAATTTTGTAATATTATCCTGAGTTCAATAAATTTATTTTTTGATTATTTCAGCAGTACTTTAATTATTCTATATGTGTAAAATATTTTTCAATTTTTAAAAAATAATTATCAAAATCATGTTTATTAGATTTAGAAATTGCGAGCATTTATTTTTATCATTTTATTTCATAAGCTTAATCTTATTTTGTTCTTTACAGGTTTATAAAGTTACTATTGAAATATATATTCTTGCTAAACATTCTTTTTGATGTCTCTTGGTCACAGTGCTTGGTCAATCTCATTGGAATCACTTTTGATGTTCCATTTCACAATGTTCTATTTGTTATATTTATACCCCCACAGTATATTCTTTTATGCATTTTAAAAATGTTTCTCATTTTGTAAGTGTTTTATATTGAATACTTTTGTTTCTAAAAATCTGATGTTTTGAAACATAGATTTTGGTGTCTTTAAATAGTGCTTAATTCATCATAGCATTTAAAGCTTTTACTAGTACATCTTAAATTTAGATTAAAATTAAAATGATCTTTGGTGAAGAATTTTAATTACTTGGTGATAAACTGATAAGATGGTGTTTGAATTTAAAAATTTGTGTAAAATTGTGAAGATCTAATTTTTCCCCCCAAAGTTAATTATATAAAACTGTAAGTATAGTAATTATATAAAATGCAGCTAACTTTTAAAATTCAGTGATGCATTTACATCTACATTAAAGTATTATCTATTGAAAATGGATGCATTTTTTTAAACCAAAAATTTGAACTTTTCTTGGCTGTTTTCTGTGAATTTTGAACTATTTCTCTGCACAGTCTTGATGTTATATTTTCAAACTGTGTTTCATGGTGTAAATTTTTATTATATATACTGTATATCTGAATCTAATAAAGAGCTTTGCCAAAAGACAATTTTTATGCATAATTTATTTGCGAAATTTTATATACTGTTTATGACATTCTATATATTATTATTAGGACAGAAGTACTTTAGTATACTAAATGTCATACATTATCTGCAGCATATTATGCTTACAAAAGACATTTTGACTTTTACAATAATTAATGATCCAATATTTTGTTGATTAATAAATTTATTTTTTGTTTTGATCTGTAATATTCAGCATCAAGGATTTGATTGGATTTTTTAGATTATAGCAAAGCAATATGAAGGCCATCTGTCTAAGGGTAGGGTACACCTTTGAAGACATTCTAATGTCCATAATTCTAATGCAAGAGTGATACAAATTGTTTCTTCCAGAGCACAATGTCAACTGTCCATTGCAATGAAAGTTTACAAATTCAAAATCGGTCTGAAGTCACATTCAGACATCTGCTGGACATCCCAAATGCCTGAATAAATTCCTACCTAGTGCTTTCCCCCATCACGTTACTGCATTGCTCATTGCTTTCAGGTGTTGTCAAATGACATGCTAGTGATTCTTTTGAAGCGACTAATAGTAGTTTTGTTATTTTAATGCACCTTCTCTTTCCATTGTTTACTGTCAATGTTTAGCTTTTTGATGCCCGAAGTTGCAATCAGGTCCCAAGGGGGAACTTCACACAGGGTGAAAGCATCCATGAAAGAAGTTCTCGCTTTACTTAAGTAGGTTATTGTTAGCGCTGTAATATTCAATTAGTCATAGGGGAAGGAAAAGCATTCCAGGAGAAATTCGTAGACACAGGCATTTTCGATGTTTGGGGAAAAGATATTTTGCCCTCTCTCGATGCGAAACAGTTAACTTGGACGGAAATGAAATTTGTTACAACATTGCACTTAAGTCTTTCATATTTGTGGTTTGTAATTCAAAAGACATTTTGAAACACACATGGAAGGATAATCATTTTTAAAAATATAATAACACAAAAATGAAAAGGGAACTTGGCTACATTTATCGAGAGCCACAAATAATCCTTCAAAGAGCTGCAGGTTAGCCACCTCTGTATTATATCATTATTATTATCTTTATTAATGAAACATTAACTACCTTTATAACTAAATCTCATTAAGAAATCATGAAGATTTACTGTAAAGCAACTCCAGACTGTTTACTCAACTCTCTTGTCTTGGAGCTGGGTTTTGAGAAAGTATTTTAAGAAAGTTCCGTGGCAGTTTGTATTCTCACACGTAGAGCAGATGCAAACAAATTATGTGGATGGGAAAAATAGCATGTGTACTTTATTTCACATATGGAAGTGCTCTTTAATAGTCAAATTTGGAAAACCCCCAATCCTTTTTTTTTCTCTTTGCTTCATTAAGAGTTTTTACCTCTTAATTTCACTGCTCTTTGATTTCGCCTGTAAAGAACTTAGAACAAGTGAAGTTTAGTTACAGATAATAGATACATTCAATGATGTGCAGATAAAATTAATAGTCATTAATTGGTTTTTAGATACTCATAGTAATTAGATAATGCTGCACAACTCTGCATATTCTCATATCTTACTCCACTCTAAAGTTATTAAATCTAACTTTATTTTTCAGTTAAAAGGTGATATTTTTTTTATTTAGATGGAAATTTATATTTATTAGTCACAGATTTAAATTTGTAAATAAAAGTAATATACAGAATGTTTCAAACAGAATATACATATTAGTGTTATTTTGTCCAAACTATCGACCACTGTGCCTCGGCTTGGCTGTTGGCAAAACGAATACAGTCCTATTTTATATTAATAGCCGCTTAGATGTCATTTATCTTCTGTTTTGCATGGTAACCATCACATATTTAAAATGGCTACTCTGAAGCAGAAACCATTTTGCGTTCTGGAGTTTGCAAAATGCAATTCCGTGATTACAGTGCTAAGATGTTTCAAGTTGAGATACCAAAGTGATCCTCCGAATGAGATCCATTTGCAGATGGTATTGACAGTTTGTAAATACAGGATGTGTATGTAAAGGAAAGAGTTCTGGCTGCCCTCATGTTCCCGATGAAAATGTTGCATGAATTCAAACTGCTTTTCAACATAGTCCTTCAAAATCAACTCATCGTGCCAGTTGAGAGTTACAACTGCCTACAACAACAATTTGGCGTGTTTTGAGATGTCGGTTGGTTATGAGGCCGTACAAGTTACATTTGTTACAGGCTTTGCGTCCTGATGACAAATGCAAACATGTGGCATTTTGTAACCAGATTATTGATGCTGTTGACAATGCTAAGACTTTCGCACAATGCACCGTGTTCAGTGATGAAGCGACGTTTCATGTTAGTAATCATGTAACAAACACAATGTTCGAATTTTGGGGCCTACAGAACCCACATGCAGCTACTGAACATGTATGAGATTCGCCCAAAATCAATGTGTTTTATGCGATATCCTGATCATCTGTTTACGGCCCATTCTTCTTTGATGGAAACACGGTTAACGGTCAGAAGCATCTTGCTATGTTATAAATAGCAGAAATTATGTTACTTGCTAGTTGTTTCCTAGGCTGCACGAAGGCAACTTTTCAACAAGACGGGGCCCCCCTTTACTGGTGTCGCCAAGTGTACGATTATCTGAATGAAACTCTATCGAACTGTTGGATTGGTCATCAAGAAGCTGGTGACTTAGCATGTCTCAGCTGGCCTCCATGGTCACCAGATTTGACTTCTTCCTATGGGGTTTCATTAAAGACAACATTTATGTACCACCACTTCCACAGAACCTGGAAGAGCTGAAGAACCGGATCCGTACTGTCATAACATAGTGACGACGGACATGCTTGCCCGAATATGGGAGGAATTTGAGTATCGATGTGATATTGTTCGTGTCGCTGATGGAGGACATATTGAACATCTGTAATCTGAACTTGAGAGGTTCATACATATGTATGTAAAGTTTCACATTCATATGTCATACTATTTAATAAATATATGCATTCGAAATGCGTATATTCTTTTTGAAACATGCTGTATATGTAGTTTCATTTGTATCTCGTATTTAATGCTTAGTAGAGAATTCACGATTGTTATTCATCTAAAAGTAGTAGTTTAAGTGCTTTGCCATAATTTAAATAACCATGGATAATAACAGGCTGTCCCTATGTTTTAAAACTTACATATGATAATAAATTTGTCGTTGCCCAGTCAGGATAGTGGTTAGGGATCCTGACTGCTATACCGAAAGGTTCAGGTCCTTTGAATCTTGGAAAAGGCGTGGATGTTTGTAAATGTATAATGTCTGTGTAGCATGGGGAATTCTAAATACACAGAGAGCCAGAAGTCCTCTCAAGAGGTTGGTGGTAAGGGAAGAGGGGTGGGAAATCAGACTCGTCCCCCCCTGGGGTGCTCTCTATCAAAATTGGGGGCAGAACTCAGTCAGTCATGATGAACAAACTTATATCATAATCAGCAGAATAATGATAACAACAATGCATCAACAAAGAATAAAGCATGGATTGATACAAATGTTGTAGAAATGAAAAAACTTTTGGGGCTTGTTATCCTAATGGGAATAATAAGAAAACCAGAACAAGACGATTATTGGTCTACTCACCCTGGATTACATATACCTATTTTTGGGAATACTATGCCAAGGAACCGATTTCGGCAGTTATGGAAGTATTGGCACTTCAGTAATAATGAGCATAGCCAACAAAAGCTTTATAAAACAAAACCAGTTTACTCATACCAGGTAGAAAAGTTTCAAAAAATTTATAAACCCGAGAAAGAATTATCACTGGATGAAGGTATCATTCCATGGAGGGGCACGCTATCTTTTCGTACATATAATCCTGCGAAAATTATAAAATATGGAATTTTAGTCCATATGGTGTGTGAGGTGACATCTGGTTATATATGCAATTTAGAAATATATTGCACGCAAGGAAAATCACTAATTGCGACAATATTGTCCCTGCTATCGCCATATTTAAATTTATGGCACGATGTATATATGGAATACTATTACAATAGTGTAAAGGTTGCAGAGGAGTTACTAAAGCATAAAACAAACATCTGTGGCACAATTAGAGTAAACAAAGGAGTGCCAAATCGTTTAAAATCTGCTACATTGAAAAATAAGTCAATGAAATTTCGTAGAAAAAGGAAAATTATGGTACAAAAATGGAATTCAGCCAAAAAATTTATAATGATGATTTCTACAATACATTCAGCAGACATGGTCGAATGTGTGAGTAAAAGAACCAAAAAGAAGTGCATTAAACCAATTTGCATACAAGAGTATAATAAATTTATGAAAGGTGTTGATCATGCCGATCAATACCTATCGTGTTATTCCATACTTTGCAAAACAAAAACAAAAAATGGGAAAAAAAAAAAAAAAAAGAAGAAGGTTTTATATCTCATAAACTGTGCATTACTCAATGCATTCCAGATATACATAAAAAATTCTGAAAATCCTATTAGATTCAAACAATTTTTACTAAACCTTGCACTAGCATGGATTAATGGAAATGAAGAGGAGCAACAATCAAGAATGGCTGCTGAATGTGATAAAAGATCGCCGAGGTTTGATTCACCAGGCAGACTTACTACGGACATGAGAAAACATAGAATAACACATATTAGTGGTAATAGGAGAATTCAAAACCCGTGAAGGGCCTGAAAAGTCTGCACTGCTGCCAAGAAAAGAAGTTCCACTGCATACATGTGTTCTTCCTGAAACGTTTCTCTGCACGCTGGAAAATGTTTTCAGAATTATCATACTAAAAAGAACTATGGATCCTAGGAGTTAAATTTTTTAAATAAAATGTTTTAGTACTAATTAAAAAATATAATTTGAATAAAATAGAATAAAAATAGTGTAACAGTTATTTTAGTGCTTTCTTTAAAAATAATTATATACCAACTACTTATGTTTAGAAAAATTGCGTAAATATCACCATTGGCAAGCAGTAGAACCTGCGTGAACCGGAGGCAGCGTAACAGCACTTCGATAAATGCGATGGCCCGCAAAGTGTTAACATAATAGTGTCAATAATGAAAACAGCATAATAATAGACAATAATGTACCTTCATTTTTTTTTTAGGTCAAGTGTTATTTATCCAAGTTAAATAAGAAAGCATATGTCTTTTTACATGAATTGTATTTTAACAGTAAAGTAGCAAAATAACTTTTACATTTCTATAAACTTCTAAAATTTTTTGCAAAAGCAGAAAAAATTTCATTTGGAGCACAAATGAATTTAAACAAAGTATTTACATTATACTCACTGAGGCTGCTTTTCATTTGTTTTGTAAAAACACAGCATAATTCACATCTTCAGCATGATTATGAATAAAAAACTGCTAGGAGCTACATGAATGACACATATCCCTGAAAATGTGGAAAGAGCCAGACAAGTCCTGTTCAAATCAATATGTTGGAAGCATTCATCTGGCTGCAGTAATCATTTGGTAAGGGATATTTTGCATTTAGATCTGCAATTCCATTTTTACAAATTAGTGCAACAGCTGTAATTCTTATCCATCAACATTGAATTTGGGAATTGTTGAAGTTCATTTGAATTTGGGAAGTTCCCATTTTTATCCAGATCATTTGGGCAACAGCGAGTAAATGGCTTTCTTGGTATTTAAACACTCATTTAAAAAGTGTAAAAAAGTGTGTTTATTTACAAATAAAATACACTTGATGCTTATGTTTAAATGATTTCAGTGTACAACAGGATTCAATGGCTCCGCTTTGATGTTCGTTAAATCTAATCTTTGATCTAGTTCATCATCAACTTCTCCAACAACAGCTCTGCAAATAAAATACAAAGTCTATGCAAGTCTATTTTTTTTTAAACAAATACAAGTTAATACAAAACCAACTGCAAGAAAATTAAATACATAGTGTATTATCAAAATATTCATATCTATGGTACATTTAAAGAAAAACATGGTAATTATCATATATATTTATTATATATATGATAATTACCATGTTTTTCTTTATGTTTATTACCATGTTTATTACATGGTAATTAAGTAAAAATACAGTATGCACTTTGAGAGAAAAATAACCTTTTCTTTAACAGCAAGCTTAGAAATAATTTTTTCTTAAAATGTATTTAGCAGTTTTACTCACTAAATACACTTTTTCAACATTTTATTTTTAATTTATAATTAATTAAATATTTTAGTCTATAATGTTTTGCTTAGCTTGATCATTTGAAACCTTAATTAAGAGAGAATGTGAATGCTGGATAATAATTTACTTATAAATAAATAAATCAAATTATTTTTTTAAAATACAGCTGATGCTTCTTGTAATAATCCCCTGCCATTGCACAGAAAAAGGATATTGTAATGTATAGTTGCAATAACAAAACTGGATTTAATATATTCTCATAATTAGGGGCTTTTTGAATGTGAGAATGTAATAAAATAGTGAAAGAAGGAATGATTATTATAAGCATTAATTGTATACTGTTTAAAGAAAAAGCTAGTAAAAAAAAAAAAAAAAAAAAAATTCACGATCTTTTTTCTACAGGGGGAAAAAAAAATAATGCATGCAATTAGTACTTAGAAACATCAATGAATAAATTTTCTTGAAATGATTTATTTTTCCTGTTAAATAGTTTTTGCAGTAATTATTAATTATCCTAATGTCAAACTGCCGGTATTGAACCTTTCGACGGCAAATATGAAAATTGGCAGGGATTTTGGGGACAGTTTGAAGGTGCAATTTATGAGAATAAACAGTTATCATGAATTGATAAATTTAACTATTTAAAATCGTTCTTAAAGGATTCCGCATTAAAATGTATACAAGGATTGACATTTAACGCAAAATAATTATGATTTAGCCCTTGAGCTATTAAAAGAGCTATTTGGTAAAAACGAAATTATTGTATGTTCACATGTAAACAAACTTTTAGGCACACACTTTAAGTAAACAAACTTTTAGGTTCACATGTAAACTCCTGTGAAATCATGTTTGAACTTAAAGGAACTGAGACAATTACATGACATAATTACTGTTCAGATTCGAAGTCTCAAAACAGCCGGAATAGAACTAAATAATTATGGTGGAATTCTTTTTGCCATTTTAGTAAAATTAATTCCTAAAGATGTAATAAAATAATAAAATATAATCATTCTGTTAATGAAGAAGACTCGTGGAATTGTTCAAAATTACTCCAGTTACTTAAAAAGGAAACAGAAACACGTGAGAAAACATTTTTATTTTTAAAGATAAACAAAGCCGATAAAATGAAAGTTTCGCAGTTCAGGAAATGAGAATTCTAAACATCTACCAACAGCAGCAGTGTTAAATACTACTACAATTAAAAATGCATGTATATTTTGTTCTACACATGAACATACGATGTCATTTACCTGTAAGTGAACGGAAAGCTAGTTTATTATGTCTCAGATATTGTTTTAATTGTTTGAAAAAAATCTCATATTTCTAGATTTTGCCGCGATCGAATACGGTGCAAGAAGTGCAGTAAAAAACATAGCCATTATATTTGCAAAGAGTGATCAGTGACAAAAGACTTATTGGGAAATTAAATAAATAAAACAAAGATTGATGACAGTGATATTAATCATACATAAAATTATTCTGTTTCAAGTCGAGAGGGTTGCAACATATATTTGCAGACAGCCATAGGTATGCTAACTAAGGGAAAACAGGAAGTGAAAATTAAGTGTTTATTCAATACAGGGAGTGAAAGAACTTTTATTGAAAAATTGATATCTTGTAAATTAAAGTTAGAAGTGATAAGTCAGGAACGTTTGAGTATTTTTGTTTTTGGTTCCAAAGCAGAAAAAAACAATAACGAGTAATCATGTGAAGGTAAACTTCAGAAGTGTTTACAATTCGAAGGAAGTAATAACTTTAGAAGCTATCGAAACTCTGTGTATTTTCAAAGCTATAGTTAACAAACTGGTAGAAAGATTAATGATTACTGTAAGCAGATGAGAATATAAATGGCAGATGAATTAGATTTTGAAAATAATTTTAAATTTAAGAATTAAAATAAATAAAAAAAATTAAAATTTAAGAATATCATTGTTAATTGGTTCAGATTATTTTTAGAGTATCGTTACTGGGAAAATAAAATGGATGCCAGGATTAGTACGAATGGAAACGAAACTTGGATATGTGTTCAATGGATCTGAGACCTCAATCAGATTGAACTCTAGGGAAGTCAGAGTACTGAAAACTATTGTTCAAAATGAAAATGTAGAAGAAGTGGAAATTTTAAAGAAAATAATTGATTTAGAAAGTTTGGGAATCGCGTGCAATGAAAATTTTAAAGACAATGAAGTTTTAAGGGAATTCGACGGCGCTATATAAATGGTTAATGGTTGCTATGAAGTCAGTCTTCCGTGGAATGAAAATGTTGAATTTTTATCTGATAACTATGATATTGCGGAAGGACATTTTCAAAAATTAGTTAATAAATTTAAGAAAAATTCTTCCTTTCTTAATCAGCATAAAGAAATCATTTCGAAGCATGTTGCAGAAGGAATAAGCGAAAAGGTTGATTCCAGTATGGCTGAAAGTTCAGTTTATTATATGCCTCACCAAGCTGTAATTCATGAAGATATATTAACTACAAAAATGAGGATTGTTTTTGATGATCTTCTAGTGTAGCAAACTCTGTTTCCCTTAACAACTGTCTGAACCCTGGTCCGAATTTAACGCCAGATTTGTTGGCCTTATTTCTGCAGTTCAAATTGAACAGGGTCGCCTTGACAGCTGACATTGAAAGTGGATTCTCGCAGATAGCATTAGCACCAGAAGACAGAGATGCTGTCAGATTTCTGTGGATTAAAGATGATACGAACATGGAACCAGAAGTGCTGAGAATGACATGGGTTAGTTTCGGACTAAAGTCAAGTCCATTCTTGCTAAATGCAACATTGAAACACCACGTAAGTAAGTATGAAAGAGATTATCCAATTGCGTTCCAAATCCTAAGTAACAAGTTATATGTTGATGATCTAATCCATAGTTTGCAAAATGAAGAAACTGCTTTTGAAGTATATTGGCATGCGAAGTTCGTTTTAGATGAAGCTGGATTTAACACGAGGAATTGGTGAATAAATATTCCTCTGCTTCAGGACCGATTCAATGAGAAAATTGCTTTTGATACTTTGCCCTGTAAGGTACCCAGTTATTGCTGGAATTCCGAGGAAGATTGTATAAGCATTGGCAATGAAAAACTGATGAATACGAGGAATGCATATGAATTCAAATCATCGAAAAGAGGTAATAAGAACTGTTGGAAAGGTGTTTAATCCAATTAGACTTATTTCTCCGTTCACAATCAGAACGTAAATGATACTTTAAGAAATATGGAAGAGAAGACTGAAATGGGATGAACCCTTACCACCAGATTTGGTGAAAACATATTAAGATTGGTGTGATGAATTGCAATACTTGAATGAAGTGACGTCACCACTGCATTTATTTGAACTAAAAGAAAATGACAAATTAATTAATTGAGAAATTCATTGTTTTGTAGATGCAAGCAAAACAGCTTATGAAGCTGTAGTTTATTTACGTTACAGCGATTTAGTTGGAAACTCTAGTTTGGTTTTAGTAGCTTCAAAATCAAGAATTGCACCAGTGTATGAAATTACATTACCTAGGCTGGAATTTCTTGCAGCGCTTGTAGGAGCTAGATTATTTCAGTACATTCAAAACAACTCGGAACTTCCAAAGGATACTAAATTTTATTTCTGGTCCGATTCAATGATTGTTCTTCATTGAATCAAGGGAAATTCTTGAAAATTGAAGGTGTTTGTAAAAAAACAGAGTTGAAGAAATAAGGACTATTTCTAATTCAGATTGGTGGAATCACTGTTTCGGAAAGGAAACCCAGCAGATTTGCTGTCTAGAGGAGACAACTTAGTGGCTCTTAAGGACAAGGAACTGTGGTGGAATGGACCACCCTGGATAAGAAAAGACGAAGACCACTGACCACACTTGAGTAGTGGAATTTCTGATTCGTTTGAAGCTGAATCTGAAATAGAAAATTCTATTACCTTTTCTGTAGGAACTGAATCAGAAACACTTTTTGACATACGGAAATTCAGCAAATTTAGCAACGTATTATGAATCACAGCTTGGATTGAGATTTATTTACAATTTGAAGAGTTCACACAATAAGGAAAATGGGTATTTAACAATAGAAGAACTTCAACTGGCTGAAGAGTATTGGTCAAAGGAACACAGATGGAGTACTTTCAGCAAGAATATTTGGCTTTAACTAAAGAAAAACCATTGCCAACAAATTCAATCATTAAGCAATTTAACCCTATTCCAGATGAAAGAGGAATAATTTTAATTGGAGGGTATTTTCAATATGCTAATATTTCACAAGAAGAAGCACATCCAGTTTTGTTGCCAAGCGCTCCTCACTTGTCTGATCTTATCATTAAGGGCTGCCATAAAAGACTAAAACATTGAGGTGTAGCAAGAACACTAACTCATCTTAGAGAAAAAACATGGATTTTAAGGGCCAGAGAAAGAATTAAGAGTGTTATACATAAATGCTTTATATGCCAGAAATTTCGATGAAGCCAGTGACCCAGATTACTGCACCACTGTCAGCTGACAGAATATCAGACGCATATCCTTTTCAAACTACTGGATTGGATTACTTAGGACCATTATATATTGAAGATCGAGATACAATGAAGAAGACCTATGTACTGCTCTTTACTTGTGCAGTAACAAAAGCGATACATTTGGAATTGACTCTTGACTTAACCACTCAGTCATTTCTATAAGCTTTTCGA